TATTTGTAAGAACCTATTAGTGGTCTAGTTTATAATCCTAAACTATTTCTATTTACATTAGTGTAGCCCAGGTTTCTTTGTAAACAAATAAATACATACATACAAATGTATATAGAAACATACACATACTTAACAGCACACATATCACAAGAAATAATGAAAGCGGAAGATCAAGATGGACCACAGGAAAATAGAACTAAAGGGAGTGATGGAACTTAACAGAGGTTTAGAAGCTAGTGAGAGTTTGAACGCAACGATAGGTAGGTAGTGAATTTCACAGAAATATAGCCATTAGCCTCACTAAAAAATACTAATCAGCCTTTTTGATAATCAGGAGCAACGGAATTAAAAAGGATTGCATATAAGTAGGAGTTAGGATATGCAGATTACAACGAAAACGGATAGAAAGCCAATTGAGTACGTAATTAAGAAATGTGATCATATTTGCGAAGATCAAATATGAAGCGAATAGATAAATTTTAAAGGCTGATATAGTGGTAATGAAGAATATGGAAAAATATATTTATTATTCTTTCATACTAAATACCGATCGTTGGGCACTTTTTTTTTATTTTAATATAACACGAATATCCTATCACCTGATAGGAGAGTAAAATGTATGCAACTATATGAAGACGCTTTATTTTCCGCAATGATATCGTGAACCTGCATAGCATGACATTATCCTAGACAGCCAGACAGATACTAGACAGTAAATACATTATTGTGGTAATTTATTTATCTTGCCGAGGAATAGAACAGACATGGCTAAATATTCTTCCCTTACACTAGTGCAGTCTTCTTAATAACATGCTCAATGGGTATCCGCAAGTCAACTTATTCCATTGTACTGATAAATTTTTTTACAGGATTACTATCCTAGATACCTGGGCCTCTAGACAAGTGGCAAGCGAATTGATATCGCTAGCGAGTCCATGAGATAGAATGAGATAGCAACGCCGGGTGACTCATTCCAACTCACGGACTCGCTAGCGATGTCGATTCCATCGAAGAATTCGCTTGCCACTTGTCTAGAGGCCCAGGAAACTCAGAAAGTATTGCGAGAAAAAGTTTATATGTATGTGAGACTGGCCAGTTATAATTTATTTAAAAATATGATTACTTATAAGTAAAAATAGGTACGTTCTAAATTCAATACTTACCTCCATATTTTTTGCGAGCTAATTAAAATTACAATGTCTTATTGAAAAATGGATTTGCGTCGAGAATATTTTCGCGCTATAATTGTTTACGTTTTTAAGTGTCACCTGAAACCGGACGAATCGTACGATAGACTTCAAATGGTGTTCATGGATGAAGGCCCTTCTAAGGCAACCGTATATCGTTGGTATAATGAATTTAAGCGCGGAAAACTAACTTTGGGGAATAAAGAAAAAAGTGGTCGCCCTTTGACGGCTGTTACGGAAGAAAACGTGCTAGCAGTGAAAAATTTTATCGGAGTCAATAGACGAGTTACATGCCTAGAGATTCAGCATATACTGCAGAATGGATTAGGAAGCCTTCACGAGATTCTACACGTGCATCTACGGGTGCGGAGAGTAATTTCACGCTGGGTGCCGCACAACCTCACCGATGTTCAGAAGCAGGCAAGGGTAGAATAGTGCCCTGATATGATAGACAAATTTGAAGCAGGCTCGTCAAATATATATGTATATGTAAGCACATATCAAGATGAATAAAATACATAGAGAGTACAGCTTATTACGTGTTGGAAATTTGGTTTTCTAATAGAAATATCTTAAGTTTTTATTTAAATGAGAACAAGGCACTTGAGACAGATTTCGAGTTTCTATTTGAAGGTAGAAGATTATTCCAATATTTCGTGGCAGCATAACGAAAGCTACCACGAAATGAAGCCGTACTGCATTGCGGAAATAACATGCATGATGCAGTTCTTGATTTTCGTTGAATAATTGCAATTTATCAAATAGGTACATTTGCTGTTTTTTATGTATAATTCCAAAAAAGCAGTGAAGCCAGATGCAGTGTTTATGCAGTCATATTTGACACCTTATTACAATTTAAAAATGGAATAATATCTAATTACCTAGGAAGTGGAAAACAAAAGCGGTATTACTCGTATCTGGTTTTATATATCATCTATGTATTGTATTTACTTATAATAGCTTTTGTTGCTTTTTGTGACCTGTAATATTTGAAAATCTCTAAAATAAAAAATACTAGTCAGGTCGCAAATAACTAAAAATTGCGTAGCTTTTTCTCAAGTTATTATAGCGTAATCTCTGATTGGTTACACTCCATAACAACGGGCGTACTTGTATAAGTTTACATGAGCTGTGCACCAGGATGTTGTAATTGCGTATAAAGCGATTATTGTGCCATCTTATAAAAATATTACTTTATAAAAGCTGTAAAACTGTAAAGTGTATGGTCTAATATTTTCTGAAACCTTAATGACTATATCTGAATGGAATTCCTATAAAAAATGTGCATGTGGAATTATAAGTTTTGCTTTCAAATTGATTAATTTAATTAAAGTTAATTATTCCGAAGGCCAATTATATGTTTTTTTTTTTTTATGTAACTGTAAATTTATGAATTAAAAATGGAAAGAAAATATTTATTGCCAACAACAAAAAATAGAGTAATTTTTTAAATCAAATTTATAAAAATATCTTTAAAACATAATTAAAAAGAACTTATCATTGAATTATTTATAACGTTCGAGTATTTTCTGTATAAAATACAACAAATGTATGAAATTAATCTTTATTATCTCTTCTATATCTTATTGCTGATTTTACTATTATAATAGATACCTTGGAGTAATACTGTAGTACCTTAAGGTTGACATAGATATAAATTTACGTATTTATTAATTAAATCCATGAGAGATACTTGTGTACACACAATATACCCTCGTTCATATAATGAATTACGTGTCATTTCTCTGTATGATAATTTTTTTATGTGTTTGTGTGTATGTAAAATGATTTGTCAACACATAAACATTAGGTTTATTTTTCTTTGTGTAAAATAATACAGCCACTATTTGATATCGAAACATTTATTCATTTGTTCTCAATAATTTAACTTAAATTGCTACCTATACATTAAACAAGGAAGACGTACATCATAGTCCTCATACCATATATTCTAAACATCAATATTTTTTGTATATACATAGTTACAATATATAGGGATATCCAATCCCTATCCAAAGTATCTTTGCAATCCCTACTATGTCCTTAATAATAACTATTCACTGGCAGCGTTATTAATAGTAATAATAAAAAATTATAATAAAACAATACTGAAAATATTTTAACAATATTTCACTGCGTAATGCTTATTCTTATAAAGTAAAAATATTAGGTACGTCATCGTTTAATAACAAATGTGTGTCTCTCTCTCTCTCTCTCTCTCTCTCTCTCTCTCTCTCTCTCTCTTCGGCCACTTCATTACTGAAGGTCGTGCCCTTGAAAGGTGTCTGCTGCCTCTCTTATGATGTTATTCCATTTTGTCCGGTTTTCAGCTTCTCGCAGGGCAGCTGCAATTGACAGTCCCGTAACGGCGGTTACTTGATCCGACCATCGATTAGGCGATCATACGCGTGGTCTTTTTCCCTCTATCTTGCCTACAACCATTAGTTTATCCAGATTGTTGGACAAATGTATAACGATAGTTAATGATGTTAAATTTAAGCATTAAAGTGCCAAGTTGATACAGATCGTTGTTCGTCTTTAATTGATAATAATAATATTAAATATATCTTTTTCATTAATAAAAAAACTAGTAATTTTAAGCTCCATTTGCATCATGTGTCAACATGTGTCGATCACACAATTAAAAAAAGATACTTGTCGCTTAAAATATGTCCTATTATTATCAACTTACTTTTATAACAATATTATTTTACAATTATAACATAAACAAAACAATGAACAAAAGTTATGTCTCCTTGACTGGAATGGAAGACGCGAAACTATGTATGGCAAGATAATAATTAAAATATGAAAAAAATTAAATTAACGTTTGGAATGATTACTTACATTAAATTATTTACATTTAACAGCAACAATTCTTAGCTTATTTACATAAAAATCATAAACAGTGGTACGAAGCGTCATGTGCTTGGCAATAAAAAAAAACACGCTAGGTTAAGAAAAATAGGGATGCATCTTACAAAATCACTTTGATATAATCTAATCACAACTATTGTTCGATATCAGTTTATTCGGTTCGATATCAGGAGGTAAATTAAACATTTATCATATTCTAATTCGTTATTTAGTCTACCTAATAGAAATGTTCAATGTTAAAATCAAGTTATTATTACATATGGGTATCTGCAATCACTATCTTCAACCACGGTTTGGAAAATCAATTGAACTTTCCAAGTTAAATTGTTGAAATGAAAGCTATTTGGTGTTCAAAAATTTACTGCAATATTTTTAATTGTCAATTTTATAAAATAAAATTGTTTACTTTAAATTTTGTAATATAGATATTATTATATAAGCTTTATGAATTGTATGTAGTACATTTTTAAACGTTGATAATGACATCATCAACTGTCTTTTCTAAAAACGCAGTATTTCTATAGTAATTTATTGTAAAATTTTGTGAATTGTCATATTATTATCTTTTTATTTCAGACGTCAATACAAAATCTACATTAACAGTAATGAAAAATCACAAAATTTTACGTTGAAGTTATTAGGGACAAGGCCTTCTTAATACATTAACAGAGTTAAACCGTCCATGGTTTGTTGCTTCAATGAATTATGGCACATAGGAATGGTAGTAAACATAAAAAAAAAAAACTTAAAATATTTTTGTTCCATCTGAGTATCATTCCAACATACACCAAATTAATTAACTGAATCAATTTTGTACTAAACAGGTAATGAGCAAATAAAAATTTTTCGCGTCAACATTGAAAAAACGCGAGGTGGTTCAACGTACAATTTAAGTACACGATCACATGTAACTGGTATTCTTGGTTTTAAAAAAATTCAATCCTTGTCTCCTACAAACCGATAAACATCTGGCGGAGGTTCTGGTAAGCAATAACCGTGGTATGTGCGGATGTCTTCAGCCGCGTACGTGACTCCTGGAAGTACACCGGTTTCCGTATGGTGTCTTGGACACGTGTGATCCCTCGGGCACTGGCATATCGTATTGGCGTTAACTTCGTCGATTTGCTCGTGTCGCCGCCGCGCACTAAACAGCTTGCAAGGCTCCTTTCTCGAACATCGTAGTCTCTGTAATATAAAAAGTAAAATATCCAATTAAGTTACATTATGTACCATTTATTTTCATGCCAACACGAGATCTCTTTCAAAATAGATGAGGGATTAAATTTAATTTATTGATTAAAAGTAAACCAAAATTAAAATTTTGAAATTTTTCTACTTCATAATATGTATATAATATATAATATTTATTATAAATTAATTAATTTATTAATAATATATGTAATAGAATATATATATATATATATATATATATATATATATATATATATATACATATTCTTCTAATTAAAGATACGTCGATAAATTAAAAATGAAGTCTAAATATAACATTCAGTTCTGTATTGAAACTTAAAAAAATTGTTTTCATTTAACCGTGCCACAGTAACCACATTAGCGCCACCAAGCGGCGCCCTCTATAAACTACAACTTAAAAGCTTAAAGTTACTTACGCTTTGTGGTGAACACGCGAACTGGTACTGATTCCCCTGTTCTCCACTAGGTGTCGTGTATGGTAGCTTCTTCAACAGATAAGTAACAGAATTCTTAGGGCAATGACAGTTAACAATTTGCTGGGTAGCGTTACTGTCAGGAAATGAAAAGATGGTCCAAGCGGCGTCCTTAAAGTAGCGACATTTGGGTAACCTCTTCACTGGTTCGCAAGTCTTGTACAACGTTGTCTTGTCTGACAAAGTGTGATCATCGTCAGCAGATAGATCACTGAAATTACAGAATAACACACAATTATTACAGATCTAGGTTTTATATTCATTTTGAATTGAAACGTTTTTAGAAATATTATTAAACAAAATATTCTAAACAAATCTATTAAGTATCGACATTTACATTTATTTAATATTAATGCTTATCCTGTATCCTATGAAATAGATTTGAAATGTTTTCAACATGGTAGATATTATATTTCTAGAAGACTTATCTTTTGAGAAAGGTTTAATATTTTATGCTTTTACTGCCTTATATTTTTCTCTATTTATTTTTTCATATTTCATATTTAAAAATTTATAACTAATTTTCTGTTTACATATCAGACGTTCTCTATCCACTACTGAACTTAAAACTTTAAAGAGAGACTCATCCCCAATAAAGGGAGTCTTGCCAATAGTTGCCAACCTACCTGAGGTTGGCAACCGCAGTTAGGCTTTTGGTGATGTTTTAAGAAAGTCGCTACTGCCCATCCCTCGACTTGTAAGATCTCTTAGTCGTCTCTTACGACACCCATTGGGAAGAAAGGAATGGCGCATTCTATGCTGGAACCACACGACTGACCATACTTAGACTTAAATAATGATTCATCAGTCTGTACGTAATCAGATATATCAAAAAAATTTTAGTTACTTATAAGACCCAAATGATGAAAATGCGAAACGAAAACGGCGCTCTTTGACTTGTGTTTAAATTTGTACAATAATTCCAACGGACGAAACAGGTATGAACAACGATATTACTTTATAGGTATTATTTCGAAATATTTCCAATAACTCACCTAGAACACGGCCTGTGTCCTAAACAACGGCATTTTCTCTCTATCCAGGGCTGAGAAGCATCGTACAAATCAACTTTGCTGCACACCTGTCGCGCTCTGCAATCAGGGAGATCTTCCTCTGACGTCTGAAAAAAAAATAAACATTATACTATTAAATTCCATTCAATTCCATTATGTTCTTTAAGAGAGTTCATACGACGAGGTGTTCATACGAAAACCGTTAAACATTTTTCAGTATTTCTGAGTGATTATAAACTGTCATTGAAAATATATTTTGATGGCAAAAATGCATTAGAAAATATAAAATAGGTACATTTTTTTAATGGTAGATTTATATGCAATATATTCTATGATATTTTAGTTTACTAGTAGAGTACTTTTTAAATAATCAATCAGCAACATTGAAAATTAATAGTTTTTTTTTTTTTTTTTTTAATTGACGTATAATTGCGATGTTGACACTTCGATAAGCAAAAGTTATGAACACTCTTAAATGTTATGGATATGTAAAACCAACGAATTAGATTAGAGAAAAATTACTGTAATATACATAATATTATTACTATCTTAAGTATATTGTGGTTACATATTGTAATTATATATAAGGTAGTTAGTAATAGGTTACGACAAAATGCCACCTCCCAAGGCGCAGTTACTAAACTTCAGAAACGAACTTAAAGGTAAAACCTTGATATTTGACGGTAATCGTTCATTGAAACATTGTGTCATATTTTACTTTTTATTTACACTTAGTTTATTCTGATCGTACAAGAAACACCAACAGCAATTGTTAACATGATTATTAATGATAACGTCAGTTTTATGAATAAATATCCTCACGGTGCTTGATAAAGATATTTTATGCAAGAAACATTAAAAGAAATGCGAAGTTCAAAATTTTTTTTTCGTTTTTCATACAAACCACGTAGGTGATTTAATGTGAAAGATTTCAAAAAAATTTCAAAAAATATGTATATTGCATTTATTTTTCAAAAATGATAAAGGTTTTACAAATTCTACATACCTCTATGTATTAGGTAGGTATACATTTCTTGTAGTCAATATTAAGTATATATTATTATCATTCAAACCCCATCTGCAATCCATAAATTGTATACTTCGCACAAACCTCGAATTCAAAAGTCGACAGAATCAATCATAGCACAAAAGATAACCATCGTGGGAACTTCTTAAGGTGTTTCCAAGCACCTGCCTTACGTCATTATAACCCGAAAGATGTAAATCATCAATTCAAAACGCACAATGTGCACATGTGCGCTCTAATTTTTTTTTCCATCCGTCCGAAAGGACCATCCGTTGTACTTCCGACCGGAAGATAAAATATGCCATCCAACCTGTTTACTGTGAGAACTTTTTTCCTACACACCATCAGGGCTACTCCATTAAATGCCACCTATAATAATCATGGTTCTTGATACGTCCGTAATATATAAATTATTCTATGCGTACTATATTTAATTACGACGATTTCCTTTTTTATCTAAATGTTCTATTCATTTACTTGCTATAGGGTGTGTATCATTGCTTGCAGCTATTAAACATTTCCTTTAGATTTTGCATGGACATTATTTATCCTGTAGATAATTAGCTGTCTAATAAACTACTCTTAGTATGATAGACAAACCTTAGTAGTTTTAATAATAATAATAAAAAAAATTATAAAAAGTAAAAAAAATTAGTAGTATGTATTGGATACGATTTATAACAGTATCTATCCATAAACTCAATAATAATATCCTACCTATGCTAAATGTGGAAATTTATATTCTAAAGAACATAAACCTCTTTTAATAGATAAAGGAAACGTAAACTAAAAGCTTCTTGCCAACCCTACCGATTTGGAAGTGTGAAAAAACCAGTGTTTTTTTCGTTGTTCCGGACATACTTCCCGTTTGTTGTGCATTGCGATAGATTTCGCGGAAACGTCTCGTCCAATCTCCGACAACCGGACGTGGACCTTTTGTGTATCACACAAAAAGCTCAAGAAATACAATGTGAGCGTTGTTGACTTACACCAAGAGCAACTACTAAACGGAGCTATGACAACGACTTGAATGCTAATGGGACATTACATTTTGTAACAACATAGAATTCCTAATAAGGTGGACAAAACTAAACCAATAATGGGCACTTTGTTGCGATAATTGACATTCGTAACATCAATCTTTTTTTTTTTAGAAATTAAAATTCACATCACAATCCCGATAAATAGATCACAATGGTCAATAACACGTAAAATCTGTTAGTTCCGAGAATCTACCGCAACAAAAAAAAGTTATTTTATTTCTACATAACCGTCTTTATAATTAGTTTGAAAATGTCACGGTCAAATCCCAATTTTTTACAGAACTAAAATCGTCGACTATAGATCTCCAATAATGTATTGACCGTGAAACTAATTACCATAATATCGCGTGCCTCTACTTTATTCCTTTGAATATACAATGGTCCCACAATCCTTGACGACTGACCATTTTGTAACGCTCCAGGGCCCATAGAGCGTTTTAAGAGATTTTTTGGAAACGATATCTGAGACGTCCACCTGAGGGCGTTTTTTTTATACAATATAAGTAACTTTAGATCCTAAGGCATTCGACTTAAGCTATAAAACAGGGAAAGAGTTACGAAAGGACCATGTGTAGATAGGGTTGATACTTTCATTTCAGAAAAAAATTTAACTATTGTATAATAAAATTAATCACATAAATTATAAAAGATAGTGTTTGAAATGAAGAAATAAGATTAACTAAGTGCAAGGCTTTTTTAGTTTTTTAGTAATAAAATATAATGTAGGTAATATGAAATATATTATTTCTAAAAATATATTTACAAAAAAGGAATATTATAAGAAAAGTTGAAAGGAGTTCGCGACAGTATTATCACAGAGATAACTATATCTCTGTAGTATTATTTTATAGTACAATTTTGTATTAAGAAAGATATATACTCTTTATAAAAAAATATAATTGTAGAATTTTATATTACATTAAATCAAATGTCCTATACTTCACACGTCTAATGGCCTAAATGAGAGACTTAGTGCGGAAATGAATGTCCAATTTTCATTTATGTCCTATACTAATAACTTCCGATTTTTCAAAACTCTGAGTCTTCCTCAAAAATAGGTCCTTGCTACCTTTTTGAAGAAGCCCTTTATTTAATTTGCATATTTCAATGCCCAACAATCAAGTAATTGTTAATAGAAGTTGCTATAAAATAAATTATATTGAAATTATTATATAAATTAAATTATATTCGCATTGTATTTTTATGGGTATAAAAATAAATTAGATATCTTTGGGATGGATACTTGTTATGACCTTCGTAATACCTATTTAAAATTAAAATGTGAAAACACGATGACATTTGATAGAATTTATAGTATTTCTCTTAGGGTGGATTCGACCAAACTTTAATTTATACACGAATAACTATACCGCCGATAGTCTATTCCATGAACTTAATCTCGAATAAATCAAAAGTCATTTTTCCATGCAATCTAACGTATAACTATACTTGGAAAAACAATTCGTGACTAGTAAAGTGAACGGTGACCGAAAATGATACCCGACAAATTAACGTTGTTCTACAAGGAGATGACATAAAAGCTTATATTATATCAACTTACTTTTGTTGTATTGTAGTGAATAAAAAAAATTGATGTCATTTTGTCAATGTTAACTGACAGCCACGTGGTGTATCTACACTTGCATTTTGCAAGAAAATGGCTAAAGATAAACGGAAACGTAGTCAAAATTGGTTACAATCGGAGAGAGTGTTACTGTTAAGTTTAGTGGAGGCCCACTATAATATTTTATATATAACATTTTATTTATTTTATACGAAAATGAAACCAAACCGAGATCGGTTTGGTTTCATTTTCTGGTAATCTTACCAGTACTTAATTTTACCTACGTATAGAAATCACCACACGCATTTAACAGCTTACGAATCTTAGATCATATGGTCCTGGGACGCCATTTTATTTTACTATTCTTGGAATATCTCTGTTATATTTCCGAATAAGATCGTTAATCTTAGAATTATAAATTGATAAAATGATAAAACGTAAAATCAAAATATTCTCGAATAACTAACACTTTAAGAATAAAATTTATTCTCGTTTAGTCGAATCTACCCTTAGAATTAAAGAATAAACAAACCAAGTTATAAATTTAATATTTTTAATTGGCGATTTTTTTTTTCTTATTCAATTCCTTTATTGATATTTTTTAAACAAAATCCAACTTCAATTTAAATTAATGTGGAATCATACTGAAAATAACAAAAAAGAATCAAGCAAATCAACTCCCAAGATATCATTGCGAAAGTAATGTAAAAACATCTATTTGGTTGAGTTTATACATATGTTCTTGAAAATCGGTTTAAGTTAAAAGTCTTTCTCTGTTGTTTCAAGTTTAAATTGATACTACTGCAACGTAATCTTGCCCTTGGCAGTAAGCAGCAGCCCTACCCTTCAGGGCTCTCGGGTGACGTGAGGGGCGCGGGGCGCGGTATCCGGTCCATCGGACAGGTGGGTGCGCGCGCGACGCCAGCGCCGCGCCCACTCCAATGAAATAATTTGTTAGCGACGACCTTCCACAACCTTCTGTAAGGCTATTCCTACCCGACAAAGGGGTTCAAATCTTATTTCATTCCGTGGCGTCTATAAGGTCCAAATTGCTAAATTATACTTTCCCACTTTTCAATTTAAAAAATATCCAAAAGTCAGTAGTGTTATTAATATTACTTATATAGTTTTGTAGTGATTAAAATATTATATTAAAACTTAAGCAATTACAACGAAATTCATTGTAAATTCGTCCGTCTGTATGCCCCTGGCGGCGGACGTCGTCGACTACGGCCGGATGCTGCGGGCCGTCAGTTCGAGTCCCGGGAACACAGGTAGCCGAGAACAAATTACTAATCCACGTAATTACATACCGCCAACGATTACAAGTTATTTATAACGTGTGCAATTAGCAAGAGCGGCCGGAGGCGTCGTTTTATATGTTAGGTTGCCAACCACTTTTTATACATTTGTTAAATTAACTACATTTTAAGATAAATATTATACAATCCATAAAAGATGTACACGAGATTT